TGAGAGAAGTGAAGTAGAGAACCTTTTAATATTTCTTCTCAAGCTAAAAAATAATGAGGGTTCTTATTAATAAAAGAGCACAGACATACTTTTCTGAGTGCAGGAACTCGTTGTGAAGGTTTTACTTTTCAACATTAAACAGAGTTCCTAAATGAAAACTAGTAAAATACAGGATTGTGAACTCCAACCTACAGCTATACAGGGAACAGCCTGTGTCTGTGCTGAGGATTCCCGGCTGTGTCAGCACAGAGTCAGCTACATGAGCCTCACAAAACACCTGCAAAGTTTTACTTTGTTGCCAATGAAATGTCCACTCTGCACTGGATTTTCCTGGTACAGGCTGTCAAATGACCTTGGCCTTTTAAGGCTGCATTCACAGTCAGCAACAACTCTGAAAGTAAAACACTATAAAGGGCCAGACATGCAGTCCCAGTGCCTTGGGAGGCTCAGGCAAGACAATCACTGCAGCCCATGTGTTCAAAGTCAGCCTACAGGAGAGTAAAACAGCTTCGGCTTTGTTTTCAGTTGAAGTTAAAATGTAAATTTAAAATTACATTTATCTATTTTGTGTCTATTAATGTGTATTGAGGGGGCACCGTGCCATGGACAATCTGCAGGCCATGGTCCTCTCCTACTATATAGATCCTGGGGGCTCAACACACACTAAGGGGTGTGTAGCAAGCCTTTACCTGCTGAGTCACCTTGCTGGCCCCCTTTCCAGATTTTTAGGTGTTTCAATATGCAGCCTAAATTGGCCCTGAACTCATAATCTTGCCTTAGTCTCTGTAGAATGTTGATAGTACAGGTGTGCATCAATGTGGCTAACCTGAGCTTCTGTCCCTTAAAATTTTTATGCCCTGGGCAGTAGTAGCACAAGCCTTTAATCCCAATACTTGGGAGGTAGAGGTAGGTGGATCTCTGTGAGTTCAAGGCCAGCATGGTCTAGAGTGAGTTCCCAGACAGTCAAAGCTACACAGTGAAACCCTGTCTCAAATGAAAATAATAAAGTAAAATAAAATTTTTATGCACAGTCACCAAAAATATTACTTTGAGTTAGCCTTTTTTATGTGCAGGGTTCTGCATACACAGATTCAATTAAGGTACGTTTTCACTGTAGGCTGGAAATGCCCGAAGGAAATAGACTGAGCGTGTACTGAGCATGTGCAGACCTCTGTGTCTCACCATACAGCTGAAGAGCTCTTACACGGCATTTACACGGTTTAAGTGGGGTGTGTACAAGTTATGAACAAGTCCTGCATCTCTTAACATAGGGGATGTAGGTGCAGCAGGTTTGGGTTTGTCCAGTGGGCCTTGACACCAGTCCCCTAACCCACTAAGAGACCACCTGCATATGTTAAAAACAAAGTAAAATACATCGACTTACTTTAGCAATCTTACGTGACAGTTATGGCAGGCAGCTAAGTAACAGGATTATTTATTAACAGCTTCACTTACCAATTATAACTGAAGGCTTAAGTTCATTTACTGCATCTTCAAAAGTTCCAGGTATGTTCCCAGGGACACAGTGAGCAAACGGTTCCTGGTTACTATCTATGCTAGCAGCCCGCCCCTGAATCAAAAGATAAAATACAATTATCAGTAAGTGCATATTAAAGATAATCTGGACATGAGCTATCAATTAGATAAATTTTATCATTTCTATTTATTTTTCTCTTCAACCTTTATTTTCTAATGTTAACTTCACAGAGTCCAAAAACACAGACCAACAAATTACATTAAAACATAAGCTTTGCTGTCTCTCTAAACCTCATTCCGTCTGTGAAGTCTTTTTAAATTCAATATTCACAATGAAGAACCTTTAGTATTTCAGAAATGTAATATAGCAATATAGCAAATATTGCAAATTTGCCCACCAAAAGGGGACACCACAGCCTATCAAATCTATGAATAACCACACCAAGAGTTTACTTTTGGCAGTAGGAACAGAACCCGGGCTTTGAACATACTACTCAAATGCTGGGGCAAACTCCCAGGCTCCACTCCCCCTTTAAGACAGGGTCTTGTATGGCCTAGCTTTGGCTGGTCTCATTCACTACATAGCTTAAGCCCTGCCCAGCCATCTCCAAGTAGCAAAGTTTAAGAGCCCAGAGTACAGGCTTCACTGCCTTGACATCGACAGTTCTGGAGGGTGGCATTTAGCAGGGAACCCACAGCACAGCCACATGGATTACAGGGTTAGGATCGCTGGAAGACACTGAAAACCCAAGACCCACAGGTCAAGCTACTTTATACATTCTATAAAGCAAAACCGAAACAACAACAACAAAACACGCTTGAGGGTGCAGGTGAGCATGGAGTCTCTCCTGTGTGGAGGGAGCATTGTACTACCAACACTACGGTCATTTTAGACTCAGTCCCTTGATGAAAACCAGTACTACAGAGTGAAGTACTGAACTGTATACCTGCAGAAATGTACTCCGCTCCAGGTAAAAATGTGTTCACAATATCCATTCTACATGGACCAGCAAACACTGCGGCTAAGGCCCCTTTGTAACCACAGTTAAATAATTCAGAGTCTGAGCTGTATACTCAGGGAGCACTCTTCAGTATGGATTCTGTCTCCATCTCTTTAAAACTGATGGCTTTGAAAAACAACAAAATCTTATTTCTTTTTACATTTTGTTTTCGAGACAGGGTTTCTCTGTGGCTTTGGAGCCTGCCTGTCCTGGAACTAGCCCTTGTAGACCATGCTGGCCTCGAACTCACAGAGATCCGCCTGCCTCTGTCTCCCGAGTGCTGGGATTAAAGCATGCACCAACACCGCCTGGCAGCAAAAGCTTTGATCATTAAAAAAAATTAGTCTTCTCAAAGCAGCAAATGCTCGTAACTGCTGAGCCCTCTGTGATCATTTTAAATTCGTTGCTATGATTATAAAATTTCATAAGGAAAACGGGACAGGATTTTTGAGAGGACTAAGGACAACAGCACAATGTTACCCTAATACCTGGTTACTGACACCAGTGAAGGAAAAAGGACCAGGACTACAGCCATGCACATGTCCTATACATGTAAATGTATGTAAAGATAGCATGCTTAGCACATGTAAGTGGGAAAGAACTGTCCTGCCACTAGATCATGATGAAAACATGGGAAAATATAGTAGTATTGCATACTGAATAGATGAAAATATGTCACACAATGTAAGACATACGATATCTATAGCTGATTAAAAACAGTACCCAATGTGAAGGAATGCTGGCAAGCAGGCTCAGAGGTGCTAACCTACGGGGAAAACCCTTACTACACATGAACTGACGCAGGGGATTATGACTTAAACGACATTACAACAGAACAGTTTCTGCTCAAATATTAGATGTATTGCTAATAGTTTAAACAGAATGTCGGGTCCCAACTCAAAACTGAGCTTTAGTGTTAGGGGTGTAGTCCAGTGACAGAATGCTTATGCTCGCCTGGCATGCTTCAGGCCTTGGGATCAATCCCCAGCACCACAAATATTTCAGTTTAGGAGAGTCAAATACAATCAGATATAGTAACTATTCCATCTCTTAAGAGCTTGAGAACACAGCAAGAGAGAGCAAGTCTGGTTCCAGCAGACAGATTATAATTTAAGTATGAAATAAGAGTATTTATAGAAGACAGTGTCCGGTTAGCTGGAACTGCCAACTTCACACAGCAACCCAGAATTGCTCGAGAAGAGTCTAAGTGAAGAGTATAAAGACCTAGTTGGCCTTTGGACATGCCTGGCAGGAGTTAGATGTGTGTTAAGGGTGTGTGTGTGTCTGCATGGATTGTCCGGACTGCCTCGAAGAAGGACGGAAAGCTACCCTGAGTGTGGATGAGTCCATGTCATGGGCTGGGCTTTGACAGTGCAGGGTAAGAGAAGCTAGCTGACAGCAAGCAAGCATGCATGCGTTTATTCTCTGCTCTCAACTGTGGCTGTGACACTTGACGTTTCTGCCTTGACTTCCTCACAGTAATGGATTCTAACCTGCAGCTGTCAGCCAACGCTCCCCTATGTTGCTTTTCATCGGGGTTATTTTATTACAGCCACAAAAATGAAACCACGGCAGACAGCAGATGGGACAGTATCTGTGGACAACACAGCAGAGGCTAGCTCCTGCACACTGCAGTAAGTAGTGAGATGCAAGACAACACCCCAGTCAGATGCCCTGTTGGTCCTCCAAGTTCTGCATCCTTACCTTAACTAGTAAGCCGTTCTTGTCGAACATCCAGACCTTCCTCCGTGCCTCCTCTTCTGAGAGGCCACTTTCCACCATAGACATGACTATAAGGTTTGCAATTCCAAGGGCGGCCTGTCCGGGAAGCACATGTTTAAAAGTCAAGCATGGAGAATGAGGTGACGCTTAGCTGCTCTGTATGTAGGGATCACATTATTGGCAGTATCTGCGCTACCTTCCCTTAGAAATCCCAAGTCTCTCTGAACAAATGACTTCTGAGAGATCATGATTCACACTATTTCTGTAAGCTCTAAACTCACTGTGATTGCTGTGACCATCAGTAAGCGCCAACATGCTGTCTTACTTTCCTGTTTTCCTTGAGACCGTCTCTCTCTCTCTCTCTCTCTCTCTCTCTCTCTCTCTCTCTCTCTCTCTCTCTCTCTCTCTCTCTCTCTCTCTCTCTCTCTCTCTCTCTCTCCTGGAACACACTCTGTAGACCAGGCTGGCCTCAAACTCAGAGATCCACCTGCCTCTGCCTCCCAAGTGCAAGGGGATTAAAGGTGTGCGCCACCACCTCTGGTCAGTCTCACTTTACAGAAGGAAACAGAGTACTGGTTTTAAATTATAAAAGCTTTAAAAACTTACCTCTCCTGCTCCAAGAAATAAGATTTTGTGTTCTGAGACTGGTTTATTAATAACTTTTTGGGTCGCGAGAAGACCCGACAAAGCAACTGCAGCCGTCCCTGTGGGAAAACCCATGATTTTTACAATGAAACAAACAAAAGACATATTATAAACACTTAAAAAGTAGGAGGAAAAATCATTTCATTTTTGATTTACCTTGAATGTCGTCATTGAAAGTACAGTATTTTTCTCGATATTTTCTTAAAAACCTGAAGGCATTATGATTCCCAAAGTCTTCAAACTGGATGAGTGTGTTCCGTCCATATCTAGAAACAGTAAACCCTTTGATAATTGTGTTAAAAGCACCACGATTAGATAGACTTCCTGCTTACTAGTTCTACTATTAGTATCTGAAAGAAGAGAGTATACTAGCCCAAGGCCATGACTTTCAGAGTTTGTGAAAGCCTAGAGCCAAATTGCAGGCATCCTTTACTTAATGAACACGGAGGCACAAACGGGCCTATGGCCATTCCCTGTGTAAATACTGACCAAGCCCCAGGAGGGTGTCCAGTGCATAGGGGCACTAAGTGACCCCGTGACCTTTGAAATGGATGAGCCCCTTAAATAGCAATGACTGACAGCACAGGAAGGTACACTAAGTAAGCACTGGGACAGTGTGGTCAGGCGAGTTCATTTTGGTGAACAGGAGTTAAGAAGGGAAGGCTGGGCTGGAGAGATGGCTCAGAGGTTAAGAGCACTGCCTGCTCTTCCAAAGGTCCTGAGTTCAATTCCCAGCAACCACATGGTGGCTCACAACCATCTGTAATGAGGTCTGGTGCCCTCTTCTGGCGTGCAGACATGCAGACAGAATATTATATGCATAAAAATAAATAAATAAATATTTAAAAAAAAAAAGAAGGGAAGGCCATGCAAGATACACGCATATCCTGCACCAGAGAAGCTAAGGCAGGGAGATCACAGGTTTAAGGCCAGTCTAGAAAACACAAGAAGACAGACTCAAACAAATTAACCAAGGAAAGAAAAAGGCAGAAAAGACTGGAAAGGGAGCTGCACTGGGTCTTCATCTCAGAAATAACTAATAAGAAAAGTTAAACAAGGTACATTCTGGTGACCCTGAATTTTCAATGGCCAGGGTACATGTTTCAGGGTTCACACTGCAGAACGAGAAGAAGCTGGCTCATGTTGAATCCCTGAAGGCTCTGGAGGAGGAAGAACTCACAAAGGCCTCTGTCTAGCAAAGGTAACCTACCAGAGGTGTGCGGCATGCTTGAGTGTGGGGACGTGAGAAAGACAGCAGCCGCTAGGAGTCCACAAAAACCCAGGAATCATGAAACAGATGCCACGGAAAACTAGAATAAACTGGAAAGTATCAGGCAGCCCAGTGTCAAGGCCGTCTGGAAGTCTAAGAAGACACTGTCGCACGTCATTGTACAAGGAAGGAAAGTGAAGGAGGAAGGAACAGAGGGCAGGATGTGGGCCGATAAGCAGTTCAGCTCTAAGTCTGTCATCATCTTTGCCTCTTGGAAGGAATCCGAGTATCTCCATGTGCCAGTTATTTTAAATGCTTAGCTAGAGTTTGGAAGATGGCTCCATGGGTAAAAGTGCTTGCCCAGCAAGTGTGAGGTCCTGAGTTCAAATACCAAGAACCCTCAAAAGAGTTGGACTCAGAGTGAGCATAAATAATCCAATACTTTACAGGGAGGCAGAAAGCAGAGGCAGGAGGGTCTCTGGGAGTCTGTGAACTGGCCACAGCATAAAAAGGGAGCCATATGAGAGACTGTGTAGTAGAAAAACAAGAGACCCTGTTTCATGGCTGAGGGTAAAGACAGACACCAAAAGCTGTCTTCTGATCTCCACACACGGTTGCCATGGTACATGCACCAGTAGAGAGAGAGAGAGAGAGAGAGAGAGAGAGAGAGAGAGAGAGAGAGAGAGAGAGAGAGAGAGAGAAGGAAGGAGGGAGAGAGGGAGAGAGGGAGGGAGGGAAGGAGGGAGAGAGAGAGAATACGCTAGACCACAAAGATGAAGAATTTGGGTTTTAAGTTGTGGTAATAGAAAAACACTGAGAAATTTTCAGCAACAAAATATGTAAGGCAATACACATTTTTACAAGATTAATCCTAATGTTCGATGGGCATGAACTAGAGAGAAACCTGCCGGAGAAGGATTTAGAGGAATCCAGGCAAGGCGAAAGAAGGCTGGGGCAACAAGAGACACACTAATGAGGCATGCTGAATCTGAGCATGATCTGACGGAAGGGCTGGCTGATGGAGGAGAGCCACAAACGGCATCAAGATTAAAGGTCTGGCAATGGGGTGAACGTTACTGCCATCGTTAGCAGTTAGGAATAGGGAAGGCAGGCTGTTTGCAAAGGGAAAGAGTTCAATCTGAGGTAGAACAGGATGCAGTGACAGAATTTTCAAGACAGGGTCCCCCAGCAGTTTGGTGTGCAGGGCCACACAGGTGGCTTCGTGAGTCACATGTATGGAGGACACAATTTACTGTATGCAAGAACTGAGAGTCTAGCTCGGTCACACAGTGCTTGTCTAGTATGTTGTGAAGCCCTGAACTCATTCCCAGGACAGCCGTCCACAAGTATATGTGTGAACAGAGGATCCATTCAGGTGTAGTGCTTGCTAATCGGCCTGCAACCTGAGTTTAGCCCACAGAAAGGTAAACGAGAGACTCCTCAAAGGTGACCTCTGACCTCCATATGCACACAAAAACACATATGCACACACCCAGAAACAAAAGAACTCCACAACCGAGCCCAAATAAGATGTCAAAGCTGAAGGAGGGCTCTGGCGGAGGGTGGGAATGAGCCCGGCCATGGAAGGCTGAGGGAGGAAGCACGCGCTATGAGAGCTTAGGAGAGGCAGAAGCAGACAGACTTCCTTCCAGATGTCAGGTAATCCCAGCCAGCAATGCAGAACAGAGGTCCCATCTGTGCCAGAACATGTCAGTGGGCATGAAAGAGTTCCCATAACTTAACCCTTCCCTTACAAGCTCCCAGGACATAAAAGGAAAAAGCAGAATGGTGCCCCCCACCCTGCAATAAGAGGTTCTTTAATATCCACCAGTTTCGTAGGATACCTGTCAGTAATCGCCTTCATAAACTCATCAATCAGGTCGTCATACAGCTGGGAACGATCTCGTTTCTGATACAAGCCCATATAAAAGGGATCTTTTAATAGTGCCTATATAAGAAAGTGAAGATTAAAAATAGTCTTTTATTATAATATTTATTTACATTAAGCATATAAAACTTTAATCATTTAAGAAACTTAATAGACTTGATCTACTCTTATTTATATAAATATTAAAAGTCAAGTTTAAGACAAAGACTAACACCTAAAATGACAGGATCTCACCCCTTCAACAAACCATCTTCAAAGATAGCTGTAGTGTTTTTTGTTTCTTTTAGAACAGGGGAGAATGGACGGGGGTGCTACTCACTTTGTTATCAGTTCCCACGTCGATACACACAGGCAGGCATTTCTCGGGCTGTATTCCTGCACATGCTGTGTACAAACAAAGCTTCCCAACGGGGATCCCCATCCCATAGACACCCAGATCTCCAAGACCCAGAATTCTCTCTCCGTCAGTCACCACGACAGCCTTTGTTAGAAATAAAACAAAAAGTGCATCAGAAGCTGCCAAAGTGGGGCACGGAAGAAGTTCATCCCCAGAGAGGGTGGGCTCTTTCTGCTCTATTCCACTCTCACTGCAGAAGCAGAATCCTTTCCATCTAATTCCAAACCTGACCCCATGGAGCAGGTTGAGCTAGGACTTCCGCCTGTTATGAGGGATTAGAGGAGAGTTCCTAGACACGCTTCCCATCTGACTTTGTCCTGGGACCAGAATGAGGGGACAGAGGGATCAAGTATTCTTTGCATAAATATAGTATTTTTTCCATAGACTGAAACATGGGAAAAGCAAATTAAAGTCCAAGATTACCAAAATAAAAAGTTTAAAAAATAAACAGCATGATCTATCAGCCTAGGGCAATCTCAAGAAAAGCCTTTGCAAAGTAAAGGAGAAAACAATCTAGATTTGAAAAAGTATATAATATATATATAAATACATATATTATGAATGTAAATCACATATATACGGATACCTACATGTAAGTGTATAGGATGATATTGTAAATTTAGTTATTTTACCGAATTTTTCCTAAATTATCTGAACTAATGATTTTGGAAGGATGGGGGAGGGGGAGGCAGTGTCAAATTTAGCACAAGCTGGCCTAGAATTCCCTATGTAGTAAAGGATGATCCAGTTCTTCTACTTTCACCTTGAAAGTGCAGAGACTGTGCAAGGATGAACTCACGATTCGTCAGCGTTTACTCTGGTAAAGGAGACATTCACAATGAAGGCAGCGAGATGACCTCAGTGACAAGCACAGTGCTACCCATAGGTCTTTAAAGAAGCTGTCCAATCTGCTTCATGAAAGAGTTACACTGACCATGGCTCGTATTTGCTACATTTTAAAATTCTTTTGACAGTGCAGTATTTGCCAAGGATCTAAATCTACCTTAGTCAAAAGAGACGGACGGACGGACAGACAGACAGATAGACAGAGAGATACACAGAGAGAGAACACAACTGCCCCTCTCCCAGAGCCGATGTTCCTATGCTGTTGCCTTCCCTTTTCTGAGCCAAGCTCTCATGGGTCTGCCTGCCTTTTCCTTCTAGTGTGGGGATTACAGGATTACAGGTCTGCACCACCACACTTGGGTGAGCATTCGCTTTCTCTACCAAGAAACTAAAGCTATGACCAAGCTCACTCTTAACTGGTGCCAATGTCTCACTCAGAGCCAAGCACTGTCTCAGTGCCCCATCTCAGGACGGTTATGACCAGCACCTCTTCAGACACAGAGCAGACATCTGCACGTACATGTGTGTAAACAACTCAGAGCGACAAGGGGAAGTTGTTGGCAATCTAGAGTTAACTTACAAGGAAGAGAAGACATTGTGAGAAGGAGGGTGTGCTCTTAGTACCTTAACGTGGTTTTCTGGCCAGTTATCCACAATCGATCTGACATGACCTCTGTCTGAGATTGAAATAAACAACCCCCTGCAATAGGAAAACACATGACAGTTTTCTACGCTTTGTCCATGGGATAAAGACATTTTAATAGAGCACCGAGATATGGTTTAATTTCCAAGCGCTGATTTATTGCGAACATTCCAACTCTTTCAAACGATAATTATGTTGCTTATAGAATAACTGAACAAAGTTAACTGATGTGATCCTTTTGCCGAAATGAAACATGTCCATATTGCATGGTCCAACCATCAAAGTGAAACATAAAGTAAAAATTCCTACATAGGCTACAATGAATTAATGATACAGCAGCATGGAAAAGCCCCGCCCTCTGCTGTGACGTCTCCGTGAGTTCTCACCTATGATGCACATGACAAGCACAGAGGAGCTTTTATGACCTAGCTGACACGGGGTGAGGTCTGTCTAGGCAGTACACTTTCCAACCTTTTCTCCTTTAACCTGAGCTGAGAAACATTCTTCTAATAAGAAACCACACATGTGACCAACCACTAGGTTATCTCCTAGAAATGTTTTAGATACTTTGGTAAAAGCACCATACAGGTTAGATTAAACTGCACTTTTCAGTGTCTGCAGTAGTGACATTTCATTTGTATTTTAGTAAATAAAGCTTGCCTTAAGATGAGAGAGTAAAACAACCCCACTGGTCAGCCTTACAGACCAGGTAGTGGTGATACACACCTTTAATCCCAGTAGCCACACTAGTTGTCACAGAAACTGGGTGGTGCATGCCTTTAACCCCAGGGGTGCACGCCTTTAATCCCAGCCCTAGAGAGGATTATAAAATGGGAGGAGACAGCTCTCAGTCAGTCTCATTCTGAGATTCCTGGAGGCAGGATTGCCTTTGAAATGAGGTTGAGGTAAAAGCCAGGGGCTGGCCGCTATTCTTTTCTGATCTTCAGATTGAACCCCAATTTCTGTCTTTGAGTTTTTATTAATCATGCTTCAGTCTGCCAGGGAATTTCTGTCACATAAGCACAGAGGGTGCTCGCTAAGTTCAGGCTGCCAGATCTTCTTCCTCATCAGAAGCTTGTGGAGAGAGAGAGAGAGAGTTCAACCTTTTAAATAATTCAACAGGTGCTTCTTATAGACTCAAGTCTGAGAGAAGCCTTCAGACTAGATGCAGGGTGGGGGGAGTGGCTGAGAGATGCTCTGATTCCTGGTCTAAATGCCTACAGGGATATCAGTATGTGAGCTGGGGGGACGGGACAAGGATTAAGGTAAACAATGGATCAGAAGGGACAGAAAAACTCAAATAAAAATAGTCTCAGACGGATCCAGCACATCAGTTTCCTCTCAGCAAGTCTTAACAGGTTCTTTCCCCATTAGCTGACAGGCACCATGTGCTCACTCAAGGACTTGAGGCAATGGCCCATAGAGGGACTGACTCTTCCTACTAAAATGTTTGATGGTGGTAGAATGGTCTGAAATTAAAATTCATCACAGCTAATTTTTCATTTTAAAGGGAAGACGGGTATCAGAAATTAAAGCTGGTAAGTGAGGACGCCAACCCCAACCTGGCAATCTGCAAACAGCCTTAATAGTAATTATGGTCTGGGGCGGGGGAGAGAGGCACAGTGACTACACAGCTCCTCTAATAATGGCAACAATTATTCGGGGCTAGCTAGTTCTACAAGGACAAAAGATATGAACACGCTGAGCTTGTATTAATATCAGTTAGGCTTTTAATACAAATTAGGATTTTGTGAGGTGAGAAACCTGACGGGGATAAGACCATAGTAACACACAGAAATCTAATTAGATGTTACAGAATGATACTTTCTTATACAATAATCAATTATATATTTGTATGTAAAAACAAGCCTTACTTAGGTCTTCTAAAAATGTGCCCATACTGGGAGCAGGCAAGACCAACTGTTGGTGTATATACAATTGGCATCAGACTTTCAATATCATCTTGCAGTATTCTATAAAACAGTTTCTCATTTCTTTCTTGTATGCCCATTATATAGATGTATCTGAAATTAAGCACACCAAATGTTTGAGTTAGCTTGCATCACACTGAAAAACTTTTGATTTTTCAAATGTCTAAAACAGGGCCCTTCACATACATACATACATACATACATACATGCATACATACATGCATACATACATTTCTCTCTCTCTCTCTCTCTCTCTCTCTCTCTCACACACACACACACATACACACACACACACACACACCTTATAGCCAAACACAGATGTACTTAAGTGGGAGATGATAACAAGAGAAACAATAGCTAATCCTTTGAACAAAGGCCTGGAAATGCTAAGGGATCAACAGGACACCCGCATGTAAAGAAGAAGCTGAAGGAAGTGGTAGGCATCCAAATGCTCACCAAACACTGATGGCCCCAAGCACTGCTCTCAAGTCCAGGGACAAAGAAGCCACCAATGCTGAAGAGTTTATAATCCAGTGAGTTTTAAGCATTATGAGGTACAAGAAGAGAAACAACACCAAGAAAACAAGGTTCAAACTACAGGCCATTCTTAACTTCTGCTTTCTTTCTCTGAGACAATCTAGTAGATCACCGAGGCCCAACGTGAACACCTACAAGCATCCTTCAAATATGTCCACTTCTCCTCCCCACATCCAGTCTAAATCACTAACCAGTCTTCATACAATTTTCCTTTCTTGCTCCAACCCATTCTTTTAAAACACATTATCTGGGACCATTTCTAATTGTCCTTAAATGGATCCTAAATGCCAATAAAGTAAGGCGCAAACCCCCATGTACTTTCTGGCCTCATTTCCTCTGTCCTGACTTACTTCATCTGCTCAGACAGGATGCACCTGATGGCCCATTTCACTATCTGCTAGGGACAGTTCCTTACTCAGGCCTCCCACTGTAGCTGAGGCCATTCCCCTCCGAGTGTACACATATACTCGGCTTTTCTGTGTTCTGCCCCCACTATATGCTGTGGGAAGTTCTGTATATGTGTTGCTTTTATTGGTTAATGAATAAAGAAGCTGCTTTGACTATGATAGGACAGACTAGAGCTATGCGGGAAAACTAAACCAAATGCTGGGAGAAAATTAGACGGAGTCAGTGAGACGCCATGAAGCCACCAGAGGAGGAAGATGCAAGTTGTTGGCTGGAACCTTGCCGGTAGGCCACAAACCTTGTGGTAAAATATAAAATAATCTAAATGGGTTAATTTAAGATATAAGAGCTAGCTAGAAATACACTTACACTATTGCCCAACTAGTATTGCAATTAATACAGATTTCTGTGTGATTACTTTGAGAGTCTGGGAAATGAACAAATGGCCTCCTCCAACAGCTATACCCTATCATTTCTTCTGTATTCAACTTCACATTGCTTTTGCACTGTTAAGGGAGTGATCATCTGTAAAAGGGAGGGTATATGTGGAGATTACATGCAAATACTCTCAAGCTGGGCTGTTACAGTGAGCCACAGCTTCCAGGCAGACATACAATCAAAGCTCAGTAATTTGCTCTGAAATGGACTGCTATGGTATTTGGTAGGTTGGATGTACTAAACACACCTTCACCTTATAATAGTTTCACTGTAAAAAATGGTTTATTAGAGCTCCATCTTAGGCTGAGACTTCTCTATTTCTATATTTTATTTGGTGAATATGTAAGAAAACTATGAACAGACTGTATTTTCTATATAGCTACAGGGATAGAAATGACATCAATTGGTAGAAATTAAAGAGATGATTTCTCCTCACTAGGGAAATAATCAAAAGCAATCGGGCCATAAAATGGCAAGAGACGACAAGCGTGTTAAGAAACAGGTGACCCCTCATGTGCACAGGGAGCTCCTCGGCCCCATCACTCCATCTTCATTTTGCTTTGGTCACTTCTGTTTGTCTCACACTGATCTCAGTCTCACCTAGGTCTCTCAAAACACAGGGGTGACAAATGCCCTGAATTCCACACTGATCACAACTCTATCCTCTTCCCTAACTAACACCATTTGCCAAGTCATGGGTACACACATCTCTACCACTGCAATACCCAACCAAAGTGTGTATGTCCCTCACCAATCCGACAGTCAACTGCAGACAAACAGGCTGGACTTAACTTCAACGTGAGAAGCCTAGACCAATGCCCCCAATCCTGAACCGATGCTACACCTCTCCTTCTCTGCAGAAACTAACACTGTCCGTGTAGAACAGCACTACCAACGAGACCATCCCACAAGGCTCATACACAGGCTCTCATACATTTGCTGTGCTTAGACAGGGTCTTACCATGTAGCCCAGGCTAGTCTTCAAGTTATGAACCTGCTCCTCTTCTGTGTCACCACAATGCCAGGGTTGCTCTTTTTGCCCATCTAACTTTGAGGGGCTTCACTTCATAACTGAGTACCTCTTCCTAGCTGAACAGGCGTTCTCTGTCTAACCTTAGCCCTTCTATATTTTACCCAGGACACTCAAATCCTGTTTCATAAACAAAACCCAAGTCATCAGGCATGAGTCCAGAGCCATCACTAGCACACCTACCCTTACCAACATCTGTATTATTATGGCCCTCTGGATCAAGTCTTCCACCTCTGCACTGGACCCTAGGCCTTCCTCTGGAACCCTGCTGTAGCGGTTTCTCCTGAGTCTGCTCTGTTAACTATGAACACACTCAACTTGTTCCCCAAGCAAGAATTCTTAAACCAGAGTTCCACTTTATGGCTCAAAGGCTTTCTTCCCCTCTTCAGAACTTCTTCAGAGCAGATTACACTTTCTTCCCACCCACTCACTTCCCACCCACTCACTTCCCAATACAACTATCTTTCTTTCCCATCGCATCACCTAAACTGCTTCCACAGGTCAGCTGTGTTTCTATTTACCCCAACGGACATCCAGTCCTGAACTCAGACTACTCCCTGTGAGAACTTCCTTCCTCATTCTGTTGCAACTCATTAGTTGCAACCTGCTTTAAATTTCAGCCCAGAGAGGAAGTTTTATCTGATTCCCTAAGCTGAGCTAGATGCTCTCAGAATAGACCCCCCATGTACAATTTTTCTACCACAACACACACCGAAGCAGACAGAGCACAGTCACAGTACAGCACAGCTATTGGCTGCTAAACTCCTAGAAGGCAGGCTGTATGTTCCTGGGTTGGTCCCTGGGCTATCATGGGAGCAGGCTAGCTATCAGCACATGCAACATACTTATAAAAGCCAGTTAGCTCCCTCAATATTTGATATTCCATGCAACTGCAAGGGCCTACAGTTTCTACCAGCATGAAAGGGCTCCCCTGGATTCTTGCACTTCCAAATCTAGCAGCAGAATGTCACACACAAAGTGAGAGAGCAGCGAAAGCATGGGATAGAATGTGAGCAAATTAGACGGCACCTCCGTGACCAATGCTCTGATCACATGTGGAATGTGACTGCAAGTCATCCTCACTGCCAAACTCTACAACAGTGAGCACTGGCAAGTGTGCCCTAGAGCGAAGAAGGCACAATCATCGAGAGTGTTCTCATGCCATAAATAATCACACCGTAATTCTAAAAATGACTGCCAACATAAAAACTAAACACCCAACCAACTCTTACTTTTCTAAAGGGCTAGTCATTTTTTTCAAGTTTCTATGGAATCGTAAGGCTTGAATATCTTGTGTCTCTATTTTGGGAGGCAAAAGTCCTTGAAGACCAAGCATTTGTCGTTCTTGTAACGTAAACGCCATCCCCTAAAGAAAAAAAAAAAAACAATAGAAATAAAGAATTAAAATTAGTACTAACTGCAGTAGCAACAGCATCGTCCTTTAAAATATAAATTAAGTGAAAATTCTAAAAAGTAAAATACACATTCCAGGAACTTCGAAATGTTTCAAGATTGATGAATCACATATTGCTGACTATGTGGGAAGGGCTACTTACTCTTAGAGGGGCTGCTGCTGGGCACGGAAGACAGCCTAAAGCACACCTATTCTTTTGATGCAGGGTTTCCGTGTGGCCCTGGCTGTCCTGAAACTTGCTCTATAGACCTGGCAGGCCTCTGGCTTCCCTAGTGCTAGGATTAAAGGTGTGTGCTGCCACACCTTGCTGCACTCACAAACCTTAATGCGCACATCTTCTAATCACGCACTATGACCTGAACATAGCTATTCCAGAGAAATATCTCTAAAGAGAGAACACAGAGGTGTGTAACAGGGATCGGATCTAACAGTGCTCCTAGATCTCTTGGCTGTTACAAACTGAAGTTCATCATCTGTACTATGAGGAATTTATGGTCCATCCATACAGTGTACAACAGAGTGGCCTATCAAAGCACACTGTTAACCTATTTATGCTTAGAAAATGCACATAAAACTTCCTATTATAGATGGAGGAAGGTCATTGGTTAATTAAATAAAGAAACTGCTTGCCCTGATAGGTTAGAACATAGGTGGGTGGAATAAACAGAACAGAATGCTGGGAGGAAGAGGAAGTGAGCTCAGAGGGGGCAGACGCAATAGCTTTGCTCTCTGAGGCAGAGACGCCATGAAGCAAGTTGCCAGGTCAGACAAGCTGAATCTTTCCTGGTAAGTCCGGTGCTACACAGTTTATTAGAAATGGGTTGATCGGGATATCAGAATTAGCCTGTAAGGGCTAAAGTTAATGGGCCAAGCAGTGTTTAAAAGAATACAGTGTCCGTGTAATTATTTCGAGGCATAAGCTAGCAGGCGGCCGGGGTGCTGGGGACGCAGCCCTGCCTCTCATAGTACAACAATTATATATAGATGCATGTAACGTATAAATGAAATCAACAAAATAAAGCTAAAAATTAATCTATGTCAACATATTTAATTTCCAGTTTTTAGCTGTGGGATAAATTATACTAAAATGATCCCAGCACAAATGCTTAAGTATGGATTTCTGAATTTTTTTTCCCTCCATAAAAGAGGTAAGAGGTAAAAGCACTGGCCAAATATTCAGAATCAACTTTTTTCTTAGTTCTGCAAAGTTCTGAAGGTTTACAATGATCAGGGAACATTAGTCCTAGAAAAGCAGCTGAGTTTAGCTTCAGAGAGCTGCTTGAAACATTGTATAACACCCACAGTAAACAACAGGCTGAACAAAAAGCTGCTAGGAAAAGGCTTAGGGAATAAGGCGTCCATAGGAGTGAGACATAGAAAAGCTCTGAGGTACTTGGAAAATACAACATCCAGAAAAGCCTTAAAAGCGCCAGAAGATAACTGGCAGGTTCTGAGAGCACTTATAACTCCAGATCTAGAAGGTTCTGACACCTCTGCAGGCACAGACACACACACACATACACAATTTATAGGAAAAAAAGTAAATCTAACATGTTTACAAAATGGCTACTATGAGACATTAGAAAAGATACAAAGTAGATGAATAGTATTGGCCAAAGAAACAGGAAATAGACTCAGAAAGATAAACTCAGGGAATCACGGTCTTAAGACGTGAAAAGCAGCAGAAAGAGACAAAGCTGGCATGGCATAAGAGCCGGGGCTGAACTGCTGCAGAGTTTCGGAGGCTGAGTGGTGTGGAAAGGCCACTGGCTCTGCTTTGTTTTGCTCTGTAATGTTTCTAGGGTTTGAACGGGGTCTCCAAACACGCCATGGTGGTCTCTTTCATCACACTATGTCTCCAGCCCTGGATTAGGAATGAGGTACAGGTTAAGGAGCACATAAGATCTGGAGGCAGATGAAAACCAAGACGGGGTCTTCTTCTTTGAGCATCTTTTAACCGCAGCTGACACGCTGAGATGCGGGGAAACTCAGGGCACCTGCTATTCAGGCCTCAAACCCCTGTAAATATTACCATGCTAATCAGCTCATAGTTTTTTCTTATAATCGAAAAAAAAATCAGATTTTTTTCTTTAGGGGATGGTGTTTACATTACAAAATTTTTATGGCAAGTTTCTTTTAAAAAACAGATCACATCTTTAACCTCAACACAGCATTCCCCAAAAGACATACTTCATAAACTCTATGGAGTTCTCCAAGTACTGTCTTATCAGAATTGCATTTTAAAAATATTTCATTCTCTTAGGGTTTCTATGGCTGCAAAAAAACATAATAACCAAAAAGCAAGCTGGGGAGGAAAGGGTTCATCTGGCTCACACTTCCAGATTGGAGTCCATCATTGGAGGAAGTCAGGACTGAAACTCAAGCAGGGCAGGAACCTGGAGGCAGGAGCTGATGCAGAGGCCATGGAGGAGTGCTGCTTGTCCCCCAAGGCTTGCTCAGCCTGCTATCTTATAGAACCCAGGTCCACCAGCCCAGGGGTGGCACCACCCACTATGAGCTGGGCCCTCCCCCACTGATCATTAATTGAGAAAACACCCAGCTGGATCTCATAGAGACATTTCCTTAACTGAGTCTCCTTCCTCTCTGATGACTCTAGCTTGGGTCAAGTTGACACACACCAGATATATTCACCCAGAGTTACATTTCATGAATACCTTTTTATGGTGCTGAGGTCTGAATCTAGGAACGTGGTAAACATGCACTCTACCATGGAACTATTCCCCAAGTGCTACTGACACGTCTTAACCACATGCCAGGCACTATGCAAAGCATGTCAAAGCCTGTTTCAGCAAGCAGGGGCCACTGTTCTGCCATTTTTTTCAGATGACAGCAGGTGAGTTGCCAAGGGGTCTTACTCAGATGCCAGTGTCATATAGTAAATAAAGGTGAGAAAAAGTCAAAACTTGAATGTTTTCTCGGGAGCACCCAGAAGGCAGAGGCAGGTAAATCTCTGAGTTCGAGGCCAGTCTGTTCTACAGAGTGAGTTCTAGGACAGCCAGGGCTACACAGAGAAATCCTGTCTCAAAGCACAACATCAACCAACCATACAAAGAAACAAAACCCAGCTGAATGAGAAGGTCTGGTACAGAAAAAGCAACTCTCCCCAAAAGACCTTCGTTCTACAGCAATAGAGCTAGCAGACAAAACTTTCAGGCCTTATAGGTCTAACAGCACACCTCCACCAGGAAGATAAATCACATTGGCATTAATGTCACTGACCTTGTTTGTTCGTGGGTTCAACATGAGTGGCTTGCCTTTCTCCTTCAGGTGCAAATGACGACATGTCAAAGTACAAGGAGTGACAACGGCTCTTACCCGGGAAAACATCTTTTCTCTCACCTGGGAAAAACAAAGTGCTCATAAGAAACACACTGCACCAAAAGCATCGCCTCGTTTATTTCAAAGGCATACATGGACGCTCACTGCACATTGGAAAATGCTTTAGTATTAAAGGCTAAACTGAGGAGGCTGACAGGGAGAGAGATACACTACTGATGTTACATTTCCTGACCTTGGCAACTGAGCTACACCAGACTGGAACTAGAATCACCCAGGAGACACACTTCGAGTGTCAGTGAGCACATTTCCAGAACAGTTTAGTGGGAAATGCCTACCCTGAATGTGGGTGACACCATGCATGGGCTGGGGTCCTGGGCTGAATGAAAAGGGGAAAAAAGAGCCACCATGTCCCTCTACCCCTTTGGTCCCAGCCATGAACTCTTACTGCTACCATGAACTCTGCCATTTGGGGGGGGGGGGTCAGGTTTTGATCACAGCAACCAAAAAGCAAATATGTACCATCCAGAGGTAAGATATTTCACTTTGAATGCATATACAAAGTTGCCCTGGAAAGAGGATGCTATATGTGTAAAATGCAGCTTTTGAAATTATTTTAAAAAGAAATCTATGCAGTGGTTTTAAGTGTGCCAGCAAATGCTGCAACAACATTTAATTTATTAAAGACCTCACAGAAGACTGCAATGACATTCCATATAAAGCTGGACTATATAGCTACCTGGAACGCTGAAATGTGCAGCTTCTGGTTGTCTACCTGCAGATGTTATGGATAGTCTTTTGGCTTCTCCACTTCTCTTTTCAACTTCCTGGTAAGCGGGAAGAACCTCTGCTAAGTAGAATTTCAAAGCCAAAGGATGCTAACTAAGCAATAAAGCAAAGAGTACAGCTTGACTGTTCAGTTGGGAGCAAAGCCCCAGCCTCTGGCCTGGGAGTTGCTTTGCTCTGGACTCCAAATCCTAGCATGCCAGGCCTGACCCCTGGGGGGGGGGGGGAAGGACCACTCCCACAGGGAGTGAACTCCCAAAGGAGAAACAAGTGGCTGGTTGGGCTCCCTGCTGTTCTGTCTCCCAGCCACGCACTCAGCCACCCGAGAGCGTCATTCTTAATGAAACGATGGGAATTTTGATTTGGTTTGATTTGACCTAATTGGATTTTTTGTGCCGGCGGAGCTGTCTTATTCTTATCATTGACCAACTAAAAACTTCCTAAGAGCAACCATAAAATATGACTTTTAAGTAAGCTCTTGTTCCAGCTTCCACAGAAGTTACAGAGATAGTATGGACTTCTCAGATTTACTTCCTCTCAGTTTTTAGTTTCTCCTCAGCTTCCCCCAGCAGACAACACTGAAACAATGGGAATTCTCTAGAAAAGAAAACGGTGCACCACGCTTTAAATTTTACCATCAAACAAGACACTAGTTTCAAAGTGTCTCAAGACTATACTGTTTTATGGGCAAGCAATACTGTTTTATGACAGTGTAGGTTAGCAATCAAAGAAACGGGTGTGTTTTTCTAAAAGCAACAGGCTATGGCCTATTTGTACATGGTCCTTGACCTAAAGAGTGGTTTTCAAATTTTTTATAAGGTTACAAAAACACATATGTGAAATAAACACACAGAAGACAAAGAAAACACATGTGGCTCGGAGTGCCTAAACTATTTATTCATTAGTTCTTTACCTGAAAAAATGCTGCTGGCCTCTGCAGCAGAGGCCACGAATCCCTGCCTCTGAAGGGCATAAAATCTCCTGCCCATGCTGCACTTGCACACACACCCTATGGGCCTGAAGTTAGCACTATTTCTGAATTATTTTCTGCAAATATTTCAATCCAGAGATCAGCAAATTCAAATAAGGCTAGTTTTTTTTTTCTTTCTTTTTGTTTTCAAGACAGGGTTTCTTTATGTAGCTTTGAGCCTGTCCTGGAACTTGTTCTGTAGACCAGGCTGGCCTCGAATTCACAGAGATCCACCTGTCTCCGTCTTCCCAGTGCTGGCATTAAAAGTGTGTGCCACCATGACCCCAAAAGGCTAGTTTTCCAAGTACTGCTGACCACATAGTCATAGACACTGAAATACTGCAGTCTACAAGTAAATCTACTGAAGTTGTTTTCTGCCACCCACCAGACATCAGAACAAAGGTGGGATACACTGTTTCAAAGGCATTTGCTAAAGCTTGGAGCCACACCAACACACCCACATCTGGAGGGTGAGGCTGATGCTAGGCTGATGCTAGATGTAAGGCAGAGCTGAAGATTTGCAACACTGTCGCAGATGTCCCACTCAGCTTAGATAGCCATTGACACAAGTAACTTTAAAATAAAGCAGGAAGGGGAACGCAGTGACAGGAACAGGCACCAAACGTTTTTCTACTCTTGAGGAGGGTAAAAATCACTGTACAAAAAGGGCCAAGACAGAGATGAATCTAACCAAAAATTTTAGAGCAGGAATTTAAGCAGTAAGTGTGTGCCTTAAGAAAAGCTGACAAAGAAAGTAGGAAATGGTGAGAAGGAAAAGATGACTAAGGGAAAACTAACAAAGTCCTCACCAGCAACCTGTTCAAATCTATGATCCAATTCTAGCCAGCAATTAAAATGCAGCTGTGATTTCTTTTAAGAGAAAAGATGGCAAAAATATTTAACAGAAGCAATGCTCTGTGTTTAGTGAAGACTGTACACATAAAACACAATAAACAAACTTGCCCTCATAAATAAACACATACATGAAGATCTGGAGAGCCGAAAGAACAGAAGTGAATTTGGCTTTCAATTTTTACTTCATGCAGTTTTTGCCGTTCCTAGAATTTTTACTTATATACAACCTGAATATCCATAAAGATACCCAAATTTACTTTGGTGATCACAAAACCAGGAGATCTAAAAATCACACAGCCTAATTTCTTCAGATTTACATTTAACTTCCATTTACATGTTGGAAACTTAAGACACAATGTTAAGGGACTAGTGAGGGTTCTGTTTCCCCTGCCATGCGGCTCCCCATTCCTCTAGAAACAAGAAATAGAACTTATATCCGGACCTAGTTAGTGATCTACTGCCTACAGAACAAGGAAGGAACAAAACTATTTATGTGTAAAGAGAAAGCTTTTTACTCTCTTTCCACATTTCAGTCACCAATTCTGCAAGCTCAGCGCCTCCCTCCTTCTATGAGTTACAGCAAACGCCTGACCAGAACACCGGACTCGCTCCACACAACACGGTACAGCAGACACCAAGGATGCCCTGATTGCCCTCACCTGTGACACTACACGGACGGTTAAGATGGTTAAGGACCCACTCACCGGCCTGGCCTTGCTCTGGTTGCCGACTCTAAGTAACAGCTTGTCACCTATACTCTCAACAAGCAGCTTCTCATGGGCGTGACAGTTTGCTAGAATGGGTCACAGTACTCAGAGAAAGATTTACTGTTCAATTGCAAAAGATATAGAAAGGCCACAGATGAACTGCAGATAGAGAGATATGCTGGGCAAAGTGCAGGGAACGGGGTACACTGCCTCCCCTGCTCTTCCACGTGATTGGCAACCCAGAAGCACATGAACTCCTCTAATTCGGGAGGCTTTATAGAGCTTAATGTCCAGTCCCACCCTTCCCAGAGGTCATGGGGTGAGGCCGAGCCTCCAGTCCTCGGGTCCCTACAGTGCCAGCCCCATCCTACAGCTCTCCCGAAGCTTTACCCAGTTACCTCCTTAGCAAAGCGTGATCAAAAAGCCTTATCAAGAACAAATGACATTCCTATCACGCAAGAAACTGCAACTTGTAGCTCTCAGCAAAGAACAGGACGAAGACCAAATACATTTCATACTCATAGAAAATGTAACTATGAGCTTGATTTTTTTTTCTTACTTTTGGTCTTTAAAAAAAAGACTCTGTCATCCTATACATGTATATAATATGTATAGAATACATTCCCGTAACACACACACACACACCCCTTCCTCCTCCCATCCTGTGGCAGTCTCTTGACCTGTTGGGTCCCCCTCCCACTATCAAGTCTTCTGGATAGGAGTTTGTTTTGTTTGGTAATCCTTTTCCCCATGGGGGTGGGAGGCAGGGATGCACGCTATAGCCCCAAATCAAGTAAATCTTCCTGCCTCAGCACCTGAGTCATGGGACTACAGGAATGAACCCCCACACCTAGCTCCCTGAGATGCCTGTGTAAAGCAGAAGATTACAGCTACTTAGACTAACTCCATAGCCCTAACGTCAACTATGCTCTCATTAGTGGATTTCCAGACTTAAGCAGATTTTCCTCGAATCACACCTACAGTTCCACCTACCTTAAACTTGTTAATTTGTTAAAAGCCATGAAAGCTCAGTGACAGGAACTGGCATGCGGGATTTCACCCAGCTTAGCCGCTGCTCCCTGGGCTCCTGCTCTGCTCTTCCTCTCATGTTTCAAAGTACAGCCCTTGAAACTTTCCTTCGGGTTTTTCCTTCCGTTTTTAATGTAGTTATTTCTTTTCTCTCTAAATCCCATATTTCCAACTAAAACTACTAATGAAACAACTCTATCCTAAATTCTCATAGCTCTTTAACGATCCCTTTCTTTCTCTTTTTGAGACAAACCTCGTATCTCAGGCCTCGAGCTTCCCATCTTCCTGCCTCTACTGTGCAGGCATGCACCACTGCAGGCACGCAACACTTCCTGGCTAGTTCTCCTGCAGAGCTAGACAGCAAATCCAGGGCATCGTGCTCACTAGGCAAGCACTCTCCCAACTAAACCACATCCCCAGCCCTACTTACCTATGTCTGATTGGCATTGTTTTCCACTTTGTCTATATTTCTATCTGAACCTGTTGATATAATTTAAAATTCTGGTTTCATTATATATTTCCAAGACCTTCCAAATCACTCTAATGTCTTTGGTACCCATGTATAAATTTTGGTTTCTTTTATGGAGTCATTTTTATCTGAGGAAACAGTAGAGATCTCTGATAGTGGCCTGACATGTTTTATGTGCTCTAGAAGCCAACTTCTGGAGCCCACTCAAGAGTTTGCTTCAGTGAGACCCAGGGTTTATGGCCTAAAACCAACTCTTAAATTAGTGCATATTCTAAATGGATGCCTATCTCCAAACCCAGATTCAAGTGAGAGAGGTCTACGATCATACTTACCATGTGGGGTGACTAGCTTAACCTACCTCCATCCCAGGCAGGGCACAGACTTCCAGTCCCGCCTACGGGAAGGTCATTGTTCTTCTACTTCTCACTTAGTACTAAAATTCTGACTCCTAAGGGTAAATGGGGCCTAGGAAATCAATTTCCAGCTCCTGCAGAGCAATAAATACTTCACTTGTCCTTAACTCCCTACCTACCCAGGGCCGCCTACCCACTTCAACTCCAGGCCACTGCCGGGAGGGTCTTTCTTCATTCCTGCATATGAAGATTTCCCTTTCAAATTTGCCTCTGTGTTTGTTTCTACTTCATTAACCTCACTGTGCAGGAAGGGGAGGGTCTCTCAGGTGGGTGTTTCTATCTGCACACACGTCTGTGTACCATGCCGAAGGAAGCCAAACGAGGGTGTCAGATCCTGTGGAACCAGAGTTACAGATGGCTGTGAGCCGCCATGTGGCTACTGGCAACTACACCCCAATCTGTGCAAGAACAAGTGCTCTTAACTGCTGTCCCATCTCCCCAGCCCCTACCATGCAGTACTCTTTACATTCTACCATCCCTCAAGTCCACAGCTTTCCTCTGCGGTGCCCTCCTCCAGAGTTTCACAGGTCCTGGGACATGCTCCAGGAAACTTCAAAGTTTCATGGATCCTGGTTCTCCCTGTCCCCTTTCAAGAGTAAGCAACAAGAGAAAGGAGTTCTTGAACTCTGAGGCTGTGGAACTCTCTGGGTGTTGTTTACAAACAGGGCTTCGTGTACTTCCAACAGGAACTTCAACTGTAAAGTCACGTCATGCCCTGGGGACAGAAATGAGGTGGTCACCATCTGGAAAGGTTATCCACTGGAGACCAGCACCATGGAGACCAGCGCCACCGACTCTACTCAGAGGAGTGGAGAGGTCATGACTTGGAGTAATGAGTCCACTTGGCAGTTACAGACCTGAACTTGAATCTGTAAGGAAGAGATCCCAAATGGTCTTTGAATTGGCATAGGGGTTACTCAGGTTTTCACTGGTCTGTGGCCACCTAAGGAGAGACTTGGGCAGTGTAATAATATAATTCTTAATAGTAAATGTATATTTATTTTTATGTTATTAATTATGACCTTCCCTTTTTGGCAGTTAAATCCTATCTTTTAGGATAGGACGGGGACAGTGGGCTTTGGAGGGTACTTCTGATGTGGTCTTAAAGATACCATTTTGCTATGCTCAAAAGGCTGGTCTTGAAGTCACTAATTAGAACAGGCTGCCCTCAAGATTACATACAGCAGCCCTCCTGCCTTCCAAACAGCAGCATTTGCAGTAAGTTTTTAAAAGGTTCTTAACTTAGAAGTTGGCAGTTTCCTCTCTGGTCCCAAATACTCTCTACATATATACTTAAAAAACAAATGAAACAAAAACTGTTCATGAAGTTTAATCTGGGAACCAACCACTCCACCAGAACACTCGTTTTTCTCAGGAAAGCGAGGACTGGGGAGACGGGTCAATGAGTACAGTGCTTGCTTCACAACCATGAGGACCCAAGTTTCAATCCCTAACACCCACACATAAAAAGCCAGTTACGTGGGTGTAACCGCAGAGCTGAGGGTCGGGGGATTGAGATGGGCAAATGCTGCCAGCCAGTCTAGACAAAGGTCATCTCTAAGCTTAGTGAGAGATCCCATCTCTGAAGAAGACAGAGCAGCTGAGGACATCTGTGACTTCTGCATTAAGTGCACACAAGCACAGCACACACAAGTGACAGACTTACAGAATGATAGCGTATATGATGGCACATGTGCACACACAGTAATCTCCTCACAGGCTTCACTGCCTGACTTGAAGGTTTTTCCAAGACAAAAGACAGACCTAAGGACAAGCTATACAGCCAAACTGCCCAGACTTAAACCCTTGTTTCCTCACTTGCTGGCTCGACTAATTCATAGTTAAGTCACACCCTCGCTGAGTTTCAGTTCTCGTTGCTCACAACAAGAACTACTCAGAGGGCTTCCTTCGCTCCCTCAAGCTTTAAATTAAGACAGCTTAAATTTAAATTAGACTTCAAATGCTTACTGCAGGCTGTACAAACGCTCCTGATCCAGCACTTCTGCTGCTAGCTACCATGGCTAGAAGCTGATGGTCAGAACCTGCATTCTAAGCACCAGGGAGTTTCTGCATCAACACTTTTTAATGATTAAATTTAGAGGCTATGAGGATGATCGAAATTAACATTTAAAATACTTCCTTCTCTAGGTCGAGAAGGAGGCTATGAACAACAGCACAGAGATCCAGACAACAGAAAATACTCTACAATATCTACAGAATATGTTCTTCGCTTTGAAATTTGTAAACACTGCTCAATTTCAGCTGTATAAGCAAAATGATCACCTTCAAATAAACTAGTTAACGTTCCATAAAAAGAATTAAATTCTATTAAACCAAATATAACTTTGAACCCACATTTTGTTCCCTAAGATTAACAAATCTTAGTGGAGTTTTGTGTGTATGTATCAAAATATAACTAGTTTGCTTCAAGTTCAATGAGTTATAATTTCAGTTTAACACAATATAAAATTTAGTATAGGTAAGAATTTTGAAAATGGAATTAAATGTAAATTAGGCATAATAGCATCAAGGAAGCTTTTAACTTAAAGACTACCATCTCCTAAATGAGCGGGTTATGGAGGCTCAAGTGTGCATTTGGAGTCAAGGCAAGAGAATTCCGAATTCCACGGCTGCTGGGGCTATGTTGACCCTTTCTAAAAACCAACCAACCAAATAAAAGCACAACAACCCTGAAATGGTGAGCCCTTCAGGACTCTGAAATGCACTTTCATAAGTACACTGAACTCCTTAGAAGGATGTGACTCAGATGCTTCTTCATTAGCAACTTTTGAGGAGAATGAATGAAGATCTAATTAAAGCAAGACCAGCAAGCCTGACGACGATAGAGCAGAATGGCAGAATTCCTGGCCAGCTAACTTCCAAGCTTTCATAGCCGCACCAAAGAGCCAGTTTCAGCTTATAATCAACGCTCCAAGCTGACTCCTTAAAATCCAGTATTCAGAAAGTTAAACTGTTGTATTTTTGGAACCCGTGTAGTAGATGTATAACCAGCTAACTGCTGCGGTTATACACAAGATACATTGATTTTTTAAAAAAAAATTATTCAAGGGATGCGACCAACAGTTTCTTCTCTAACTTCCAGAGTATTTGGAAACTACAAATAAAACTCTGCATTACTTCGCAATCGCTTAACAACATAAACAACACTTAAGGAGTATGCCCCGTTAAGTGAAGAAGAGCTATGACCATAGCTTGAGTTTGAATCCATTCCCTCGCTTACTTAAAGACTCAGGTCTTGAAATAGTTACTTAACCTTTCAAGATATTTACTGGAAGAGCACAAACCTGAAAGGATTATTCTGGGGTAACGTGCTCAGAGAACAGCGCCCAGCCCATTTCTAACAACAGTGCTGCTACTGTTACCAACAATGCCGACACCAACAGAAATAAAACGTTATTAACCGCTTTGCTTAAAGTGACTGCCACAAGCATTTAAGAGGATAATTCCAGGGATCCCACGTTACTAGGGGCGCACTTCTGTTGAGGTCAGTTATTTTGATCATGCTTATCACCACAAGCAACACACATTTTCTAGAATGATCATTAGTACCCTCCAAAATAAGGTCGAACCTAAAGCCACAAACGCAACACCACACTCTGGGTTGGTTGTGAAGAGCGTCAGAGTCCTCGGCCAACCCCGGTGCACAGGTGCCATTACAGATGAATGGACGGAACCACGCCGATCTTAGAACTTTCTAGCTTGCAACAACTCTTTCTTTTAAAATGAGGAACACACGCACAGCCTAACTCCTGTGCCTCCCCGAGCTCTGTTGAGAAAGAAATCTTGCCAAAGGGGTTTCGAACCACAAAGTATGTCTTTCCCCCAGCGCAGGAGGAAAAGAGACCGGGATGCTCGAGATCCAGAAGCCACCGAGCTGGATTCCTGGGAGGAAAGCGGGGTGTCCTGGCACCAGCGAGCCGGACCCCAACAGAGTGCGGCGCCCCTCCCTCCGCCCGGCTACCCACCCGCCAGGCGGGCCGCACGCGCGGCTCCCGGGGCGGAAAGGCCCGCGCCCATCCCGCCCCACACCAGGCCGCCCGCTCCGCGCCTTACCGGACCCTGGCCCGCGCCAGGTGGTGCTGCAGGCAGAGAGGCCGCGGTGCTACAGCCCGTGATGCTCGACCCTGGCGCCGCCTCTCCCGGCCTCCCGTAGGCTCCCGGCAGCCGGCGCCAGCTCCGGCTCGCTCTGCCGGGGGGGACCGCCCCACACGCGCAGAGGTAGCGGAGAAAGAGGCGCGGGCCAGTACCGGGCGGACGGACAGGCATGCGGGCCAATGGGAGACCGGGATCTGGCGCGAGGCGTGGACTCCGGCCTAGTCCCGCCCCCCCGGCTCGGTTCCTCCGGGCGGCACCTTCCTGCGCCGGGTTCCTGGGTGTTAACTGTTGTGAGGTGGCGCGCACCAGTTCCTGTGCGGCCCCGACGACGGGAGGAGGGATGTGCTTCGGGAGAGCAGGGTGGTACCCGGTTCCATGAGGACGCGGAGGGTGGCTTATGCCGGCCACCGGCCAGGCACTCCGGATGGGCAGGGAGTCCGCGGCCACCGCAGGGCGTTCACGCGAGAAGACGCTGTGCGCAGGCGCGGCGCGTGGTCTGCGGGTACCACATCTAGTCCACCAGACACGAGGAAATTATGATGTGGGTTCTCGTGGAGGAGGGAAGAGATGAGCAACGCAGGAGAATGGCGAGTAGGGAGCACAAGAAACGCGAGCTCTGGCCGGCGCTTTGTTGGTGTTGTATTTTTCTGAGCTGTATTTATTGGCGTATATAGGTCTTATGCAAAATTCTGTGCCATCCTGCATGGCTGCTAGCCCAGTTACTGACCTACCGGGAATTTACTAATCATTAGTGCTACCACCGTCACCCACCATGAATTCAGTGTTCTTGGGAAAGCGCTGAAACTCTTAGTATCCTGGAAAGCAGCAAGGAACACACACACCTTCCTGAATCTGTTCCCGCCCACAGCTAGGAATTTTGGACGATATTTTTGTTTCAGAAGCTATAATCGCTAGAAATTATTCACTATAATGGAATCTTTATACGCTTAAGGGATAAAAATAGTAATGTTTAGAAGACAAAAGGGTAAATAAAGAGAAGATAAGAATTTTAAAGATGATGTAAATGTATAAGAAAAGTTTAAGAGAAGCCAGCGAGAGAAAAGTATGTTCCCCTCAAAGGCAGGCAGTTCCACGGCCTTGAACACTGAAGGGTGGGGCACTTGAGGGAAACTACAGTTAGCGGACAAATAATAGGTATGGCTGTTGCAGTCACCACCGCAGTAAAGAGGAACTATAAATAAGTGTGGCCTGGCATAACCTTGCCTGCCAGAAGCTCAAGGTGTGGCAAGCTGGATGAAAGACGCTGCAAAAGAGCAGGTGTCATGGATTCTTCAGCAGTGAAGCTCTGTTGTCCTTGAAAGCCTGCCCTTTGTTTGGATTATTCCAGGTGTAAGGGTTGCCAAGCGCTATTGTGGGATTTAGTTTGCTTGAGGTCAATAGAGTTCTCATTAAATGCAATATCTGCTAATGTCAAGAAGACAGGCACCCATTTGCCTGATTACTGATTTGTAGATTCTCCCAGTGAAAAGTAAACACGTCGTTATTAGAAAAAACGAGCTCGTGTTTGTGCTGCTCCTCCTCTTCCTATTGCTGTTCTTTCCCTGCTTCCCCCTACCCTACGCACACACAGTCACCAGTGAATACTTCAGGCCTGGTTTAAAAATGTGTGTCAGCTACCTATGGTTCCATGCATGACATCTGTCTCTGTGTCATAAGATGATGGGCAAGGATGAAGGCTGATCCGTGAGTACCGAGAGTGTGAGGAGCTGTGCTTTTACTCCTCTCGCACACACGTGCATATGGGAAAAGCAAACACGGCAACTCGCTGTGCTCCTTTAACAAATCTCTAGCTCCAAAAATACTTGCATTACAATTTTTACAGTAGCAAAAGTATAGTTATGAAGTAGCAATGAAAATAATTTTAGGGTTGGGCATCACCCTAAAATGTATTAGAGGGTCTTAGCATTAGAAAGGTTGAGAACCGCTGTTCTAAAGGGAGGCAAAATATCCTGTCCTGCAGGGGAGCTCATTAAAAACCAGGAAATAAACAACTCAAAAGGCTCAGGAAATCCCTGAAGCAGAATAGATACACTAGGTCTCTTCCTCCCCAAGTATATATAAGCAGTAAAGACTACTGAGAGAAACTCTCAGATAAGCCATCTGACTAGAAAACTCTCCAATAAACTCGACTGCTTAGAAGAGCCTCAAACCAACTGAACTACCTGGAAAAAAAAATACTCTCCAACCTGTTGGGCTCCCTGCAGGCTTTGTGGTATACCTCAGGTCTCCAACTTTCATGACGTCATTGTTGCTGGTTGGCAGGAGGAATTGGGTAAATCCTGCACGGAAATGCAAATGCAAGCACAAAATTCTCACTTAGGCTCCCTACCTGACTCATAGGTGATGTTCAGTAAATAGTAATTACTAACTATTATTTCATTGGGCAGTTAATTTTTGCTACACATTGCTTTTTAAGCCTCATTTGCATATTAAAATTAGTTCACTGACTTAGTAAACACTATGAGGTTGGCATAACTATCATTGTAGTTTGCTTATGGGAAAACTGGAGACTTGAAAAGTACCATGAATAGGAGAAAAGGGGGCACAAACTACACTGTAAAACATTGGTTTTAGTATTTTTATAATTTGGTAATTTATAATAAACATGTAATTCCATGTGTTAAACTCAAGAGAGCATTTGGTGTATTGTTACCCCTTCCCTACCTGGGAAGGCCCTGCTCATCCTCAACAAGTACAGCAGAGAGTTCTATACTTTGTTAGAGAAATTAAATTTTCTGGGCCCCATCCTGTACCTACTGAAGAAGAAACACAAAGTCTCGGGACAGAATCCCGAGCTCCAGGCATCCCAGATAAGCCATTTACCACAGAGCTCCTGCCCTGACAGGTAAGTGGAGTACAAGCTCAAGTTCACTTTGTATCCATCAGGCACCATTTTCTGCTCGGAAGAGCTAAGTGGGAAAGAGTCATTATTAAACACAGTCCTTTTCTCAAGGTGTTCCTGACATAAGACAAAGAGAAAGCATTTACTCATGCAGGCATCACGTGACGGTGTGTTGCTGAATGCATCTTCTCATATGCATATTACAAAGAGCAATGTGGTGAGAAATGTTTGCAGGAGACTTATAAGATGGCAGTGTCACTCTGGGGAAAGTGGAGATGGACGAAATGATACTGTCAAGGTTGGTTGATATTTTTATGAGGGGTTACTATACTTGAATTTCTCCTTTTGTGGGTAATGGAATATTTTATTTTGGACAGTGTTTTTATAAGGTGTGAAGAGAAAGTTCCAAGTGTGTCGTTGTTCAAACAGGCTGACCTGAGCAAGCTCTGTGGGGTCACGGCACCAGGGTAAGCCTTGATCACTAGAAACATTCCTTAAACGATGTCCCGTCTGCTATGACTCCACAAAATGTTATAGACAATCCTCAAGTCCAGATGTTTCAAAAAACGTTGGTAGTTTCGAAGTTTGTGACAATCAGAATGTGTCACAAGGTTCTCTTTAGTCCTTGTTTTCCCAGCGTAATCTAAGTAGTCACACATTTCTCTTCAGAAACGTGAGTGTTTGGTTGGTGAGATGCCTCTGGAGGTAAAGCACTTGCTGCCCCAGCTGACGATCTGTGCTCAGTTGCTGGGACCCACATGGTGGAACGAGAGCATGGATTCCCCCAAATTGTCCTCTGACATACACATGAACACTGTGGCATGCTCCCATGCACGCACACACACACACACACACACACACACACACACACAATAAATACATGTAATAAAAAATTTTTAAAATATGATGCATTTCTGAGTCACAGGCCCAGATCCCACTGTGAATAATACATAACAGGCACGACACACACACATTATAATATTTTTTCTGAATCCAACAATTCCCAAATCCTCAATCCCAAGGCCTTGTCTATTAGTATGATTTAAAAAGAAAAAAAAAAAACTATCTTTCTCCCAGTGCTAGTAAGCAAGGAAAGGCAATGGGCAGTTCTTTCTATTTACTAAGATGAAGCAGATAACTTATTATATTAAAACTGCTTATTTTAATTGGTTCTTTGCTTAGTGTTTATGCGCATGTGCACAGATAGAAGTCAGTTCTCTCCAGGACTGCACTATCTTGCCAGCCCCAGGCTGTCTGTTATAAGGCTTTAAAGGTTAAGTTTACTGTGAATGAAAATCAATTATTTTGACATCTTACATGTTTTTCTGAGGGCAGAAATACCTGCTCATTGAGTTATAAAATTTAGCCTCAATACTATGATGCTAGAGGTCAGTGGTGTGGTGTTAGTCTTAATGGGGTTCACTGAAAGGACATAGAAAAGAAGCTCGTGGCAGCTGAAAACATTCCATAGCTCAGGATGGGCAATGGCTACACAGGTATGGACTTCATGAAATGTGTCTCCTGAACACACCCCTGTGCATGACTTTTCTATCTATACCCTGATATTTACACAAGATGACTCACATTAATGAACTTTTTCTTGTAGAGTAAGATAAGCTCCCTTTAGATACTCTGGTGTAGATGTCCTTCCTGTCTTCCTTACCTCTTTCCTCATTGCTGTCCTCTGTTGGTTCCTCCAATAGAATGGAGAGAGCACTCTTGGCCTGTTCATCGCTAATGGGAGTGCAATTCACCTGGCCTTGTCAGGGTTCTCAAATGACCTCGCAGGCAAGCACAGTTAACACTGGGTCCAGAAGGAAGGCACAGGTTCCTCTTGTAAGAATCATGGATTACAAGACGCTAGGGTAAGGAGAAAAGGTGGCAAGACCCAAATCAACAGGAAGCCTGAGGGAGGAAACCAGTGTGAGATGGGCCATTGAACCAACAGAAAAGGCTGTAGATCCTGTTCAGTTTGTGTGAGCTCTGAATTGTTGTTGGTTAGCCAGCTACCCCAGGCTTTGTTCCTTTTGCTCTGTATGCCTGTGAAATGGAAGGAGTTTTAAAAGGACAGGCAGCTGATTACATATCTGGTCACATGATTCCCTGTAAAACTTTTCTTTTTCCTATAGGCCCATAGTATCTGGCAGACTTTTCCATGAAGCAAGAAAATTTTAGACAGTTCCACCTATATTGGCAGTTTGTCACTTTTTTCTATGTCCTGTAGAATGTCTATCAGACTCTTTCATGAAGCAGGAACCCGAAAGGATCATCTCACCTTCTTTAGGCAAGTTCAGCAGTCATCTCTCCATGGGTCTGCATGTCCAGCTCACACAGCATAACATCAAACAGTCCAAGCAAGAGCAGTCTCTTGCTCAAATAGCCAACAAACTCCATAAGGAGCCTCTTTAATGCCCATCGTTCTCTTGAAGTAGATGCCTCGTGATGTCAGGAGCAGATGTGTCTCATTGTCATGAAAATTCTAAGTTCTTAAGACATTTAAAATACCATATTCTGAAGGTCTCTGAAAGATCTGAAGAATACCTAACTAACTGAAATATATATCTATATATCTAGAAAACCTAACTAACACCACTACAAGCTAGGCTATTATAGATGATGATTTATTAACCTATATTTCTTAATTACACATTACATTTTTAAATGAGCAGCACAAACACAATACCTTAATCAAGAGCAAAAATAAACATAAAACAAAATTGACCTTAATTTTGTATCAATAGAGCAAGATCCATACCAATGTAAATTTCTATAGCATATTCCCCTTTAAATGTAAAGAAACATTTATAAACAATATTTGGGAATTTGAGCATAGTTCTCTCTAAACTATTTCCTGCTGTTTATTGGACGAAGTAATTTTTGGGGTGTTCATGGAGTTTCAGGTGGTCTTGGTTCATCGAACCACAATAGTCTGGAAGAAAACCATAGGTTCTCATCTTCTGTGGAAACAAAACAACCTCTTTTCCAAAGCAACAAGTCCTTAAACCCAAATTCTGAAGTCATGATACCTTTAAAATATATATGGTGGTTTATCTTATTAGCCCATACAATGAAATGTCTCTCTGCACTTAGCTTCTTCACAGTCAAAAAATTTAAAGAAAGCACAATAATATACACAATCCAGACTCCCTGCGTATTTTCCATCTTTATGTGACTTATTTTTCTTACTCTATTACTTTTCCTATAAGTTTAATATTTATTGTATTATCCTTACTCCTTTAATCTATGACTGTCTATACTCTTATATTACATTTACTGTCTCTTTACTCTCTTTCTTCTCTCTCCCAAGCCTTCATACATTTTTTTAAACACAC